GCTCGAAGCATTGGTTTTGTGTACATTGGTTCCAGACCCTTGCTGCGAGCTATGATCAAGTTGATTAGCCAGATGTTGGGTCAGACCCGCGAAGCTTTCGCAATACATCGGGGTGGGGCACTGGAAGTTTTCGGGATATGTGAGCGAACGAGATCCAGCCGGCTCATGCCGGAAACCAAAGGCAATGGGAGGTTTCAGCCCGCTTGGCTCCCTCATGACTCCAGTGCCCCATGTGCCCAGGCCGTTTGAGCCTGCCACGAGAAACCCCCGCTTTTCTACTTGAACCGCATTAACAACAGTGGGCGTGTCTCGAAATTCAGGTTATTTTGGTGTAGGAGGCTTTGCCTTAGCATCCCAGGAAGCACCACCTGTTTTGAGACACACCCAAATGTTGCCGCTATTGATTCGGCCTTGCTCGCTCTGAGCTCTAAGCCGGTCTGAGCCATCGGTGGTTCAGAATTCTGGGGATTGAGTCCTTGTCCTACTCGTGGGTAGAGCTAGGCATACCACCTTTCCAGTCCACTTTCACAGGGCCTTTTTCAACACCAAAATAAAGAAATGGACACCACCAGCTAACAAGCTGCAATGTGCGATCGGTGTTTTCCATGCATCCGGATCCCTGTTTCGAAAGCTCGCCGTGAGGAACCGAAATAAAAGGTTCGGGGACACCACCAGTCCGTTCTGTACCCTTTCTTTTCCACCCGTTTCCCATGGGGCGTTTCTGGTTCTCAGGGTTGGGTGCTTTCTAACCCGGTTGCCACCAGTTGCCACTGGTGATTCGTACCCCCAATGTAGCACCTGTTTGTGTAAAACCACGTTTTTCCTGCATTTTCTTTGTTCAAACCGTGGTCTTTCCATCTGGGGGGGTGTGAAGAATACCAACAACTCGCCCAGGGCTTCGGATCGGACGAAAGACCCAAATCATTCTCGGAAAACGCGCGCGGCGCGCGGCGCGCGCTCTTCGGCTTTCAAGGGAAGACCCTCTGGTTGCCACGTTCCTTTTAAAAGGAACATGGCAGGCAATTGGTTAGTTGCTCGGCAGACCTGGTCGCACCACCCAAGTTGGGCGGGTTCATATCCCCCCAGGTACCCCCGGGACAGCTCCAGCCGTGCCGTGGTGAACCTCAAACCCGTGCTACTAAAGGAACATGGTCTTCCACCCCGAAACGTCAGGTTCTTCATGTTCGTGGAAAGAGTCCGCAGATTTGACCGGGCTTGAGATGTATGTGGAATTTCAATATGGCAAAGGGGCATGTTATCCCAAAGATCCTCTTTGGGATCTCTTTGTTTTGACATTTGTTTGATTATCTAAGCTTGACAATTTTGGGATATCATACCATTTTGGGTGCGCCAAAGTTGAGGTTGAGACAGGTCTTTGTTCTGCTCTGTTAGCTGGCATGTTGTGGCCAACCGGCAAACGCGTTGCTGACGTGCCAAGAAATCGGCTTGGCTGGGATGTGGGCGTTTCTTGTTGCACTTGGTTGCTTTTTGTTTGTTTGGCAAAAGTGGTTTGGGGAGTTAGGTGAAACAGAATGGGACGCCACCCCCGAACCCCAAACCCACCCATTTGATGGTTGGAACGGCCTCAATGGTGGTTTGTGGACGTAAATCCCATGTAAAACATGTCAGCCAAGCGATGTGACGTGACATGATGTGATGTGATCAGTTAGTGGATGTCTGTCAGGCATGTAATGCATGTAATGTACGTAATCTATGCAATGTAATTTGATGTATGGTAATATATTGTGTTGTATTGTATTCTACTGCAATGCAGTGAAGTGTAGTGGAATGCAATGTAGTGCAATGCATAGTGAATGGATAAGTACGCAAATACATAAATGCACTAACACATAAATTAAAACATGTAAACACATCAATACATAAAACCATAAATCCATAAGTACATGAATACATACATACAATAGTACACAAGTACATCAGTACATAAGTGTTCAACGACACAAGTACATAAGTACATACGTACATAAGTACATAAATATACATATATATATATATATATGGTCACCCCCGCCCCAGGGCCTACCTTTGCCCTCTTCTAGTTGAAGGTGTCAACTCTACTCTGTGTGCCTCTTTCTTGCAGATGCCTGAAACACTGTAAAATACAGTGTTTTGTTGTTTTTTACCTTCTATATGACAGCAGATGTCTGATTCTTTGAGGCTTGAAAGGCAGCAAAGCGAAAACGGATTCCGTTTTCAGATTCGAGCCTGGCTTTGATTGAATCACTGGTTTTTACAGTGGTTTTGAGTACACCAGGGAAAAACATTGAAAAAATGATGCTTTTGGCAGCTTTGAGCTCTGCAACCTGCACAGACCCAAAAGCACAAAATCTCCTGAAAATGAAAGCTCTGAGACCTGCACATGCCAAGCACATCTCCAGACCAAGTTTGGGAGTCTGGGGATATGTGCCCTTTATTTGTTTAGCCACATTTAAGCTAAATCATATTTGGGAATGAGTTACTATTAAAATTTGTTTGCAAAGGCCAAGTGATTTCTTTCCAGAATAAGCTATATTCCAATTCAAGTTGTATTTGGGGATGGATTCTTAATCAAATTATTATGTTCAAAAGCTAATTGAACTCTGTCTGCATTAAAGTATATTTGGATTCTACTGCAATGATATTTTCCTTATTTGGAAAGGTATTCCTGTTCAAATTCTGATCTAATATAGACATTATGGTGAATTATGAATGGTGGTGAACTATGTGCTTACTAAATTCTATTCAATATGCAAATTCAATTCGGATCAAAAATCGTATTTGGAAAGGAATGTGTACTTGGATATGTTGGACTCCAGGCTCCAAAATATGAGGCTTGGAGAATCCAACATTAGACATCTCGAGGATTCTGATCTCCAGATTCTAGGTTTCAGGTGCTTCACCATGGACATTTCAAGGGATTGCAGGTCCAACAAAAAACTGTAAAACAAAGTGTTTCGAAGAAATTGCCCAGATTGTGTTCCCTTGGGCCGAAGATTGTTCGTTTCCCAAAAAACATTTTGCCCCCTTCAACATTCCAATTCAATTCGTGTTGGAGTACTCCAGGCTCCAAATTATGAGGCTTGGAGAATCCAACATTAGACATCTCGAGGATTCTGATCTCCAGATTCTAGGTTTCAGGTGCTTCACCATGGACATTTCAAGGGATTGCAGGTCCAACAAAAAACTGTAAAACAAAGTGTTTCGAAGAAATTGCCCAGATTGTGTTCCCTTGGGCCGAAGATTGTTCGTTTCCCAAAAAACATTTTGCCCCCTTCAACATTCCAATTCAATTCGTGTTGGAGTACTCCAGGCTCCAAATTATGAGGCTTGGAGAATCCAACATTAGACATCTCAAGGATTCTGATCTCCAGATTCTAGGTTTCAGGTGTTTCAAATTGGACATTTGAAGGGATTAGAGATCCAACAAAATGCTGTAAAACAGAGTGTTTTGCAGCAGTTGCTCAGATTGTGTTCCCTTGGACCGAATGGACAGCCTTTGATATAACAGTGCAGCAGTGATGACACACACACACAATCATCAACCTTTTAGGACCACATGCCCAAACCACATCAAACAAGGCCTCAAATGAGTGTCCTTTTTTTCCCAAACAACAGTCTCCACTTGCTGCGCAATAAGCCTACAGAAGGTTTATAAACTTTCAGGAAAGTTTATAAACCTTATTGAGTGTTTGACGAGTTTCCCGCGTCAAGGTTCATGGTATCGTTGAAGGATGGGGGGGGGGGTTGGTTGGAAGTCTTGGGGGGGAGAGAAGGGTGTGAGGGGGGAGGGGGGGGGGGGGGTGAGAGGAATCTGGGGGGTGGGGGTTGGGGGGGGGGGTGTGGTTGGAATCTAGCAGTGAGGTGACTCAGCCAACTTTGTAAAGGAACCCCCCCCCCCCCCCGTAAAGAGTTCTGACCCCCCCCTGCCCTTGTTGCAGGGAAACCGTCAAACCCTTGACATGGTTTATAAACTGTCTTGAAAGTTTATAAACTCTTTGCTGTTGATACTCAACATGACTTGTCACCCACAAACAAATATGCAGCAACAGCACACTTCTTGCGTATATATGCTCACACCCCCTGTCTTTAAAAATAAGAGGGTTTTGTACATTTTGAAGTGGAAAGGTAGGCCCTGGGGGGGGGGGGGTGAGCATATATATATATATATAAAACGCAAATCCATGAGTACATGACTACATAAATACATAAGTGTTTAAGTACATAAATACGTAAGGACACAACTACATAAGTACGTACACAAGTACATAAATACATAAATACATACATACATACGTAAATACAGAAATTACACACATAAAAAATTACAGAAATACAAACGCAAATACATACATACATACATACATACATACGTACGTACGTACGTACGCACGCACGCACGCACGCACGCACTCACGCACGTATTTGCATGCGTGTGCGCGTGCGTGGGTGCGTGCGTGCGCGTGCGTGCGTGCGTGCATGCATGCCACACATACACACATACATACACACGTACACACGTACACACACACACACGCAAATGCATACATCCATACCTGCATACGTACATACATGCACACGTACAGACACACATACAGACAGACACACAGACAGCCAGACAGAAAGACAGATACATACATAGGTCTCATTTTGAGGTTTGTTTTTTGGGGTCCCTTTGTGTTGAGACGGGCCCATGCTTCCAAACATCTAGAGCGAAAGGCGCAACATTTGGCAGTGGTTCTACTGGTTTGATGAGGTATATACGGTCAGAGTCTCGGGGGACGAGCTCTCAATTTCCCATGCCCTCCTAGAAACACATCATTTTGACCGCGGCTCATGGAGGTCATAGTGAGGCCCATGAAAGCTTTGACCATTCGGGTATCATTTTTTATTTTATTTATTTTTTATGACCAAAGGAAGACCCCCCGTAGGACCCAAGCCAAGCCCCAAAGCGTGGGGTGGGTTTTCCGACTACCTTCCACCCCTGCGCGGCTTGATCCGAGGCCACAGGTCGCCGTGAAGCGCGGCCCTCAGTTCCGCTTGATCGCTTGAAGGAAGCAGCGCAGGGGTCGCGGAGTTAGCTGAAATGGTAAACTTCCCCAGAATCTTCTCCCCTTGTTGCTTTTTTTTTTCTTTTTTTTTTTGGGGGCTTTTTTTGCTTTTCTTTTTTTTCTTTTTTTTTTCTTTTTTCTTTTTTGGGGTTCCCCTTTGTTTGCCACTCACCAGGCAAAGAAGATACTTTTTTTTTGCCGGGGTCCTAATTCCAGGCAAGTGTACTCGCTGCATGCCAACCAGCAAAATTATTTGGCCGTGGGTTGGCACCAATGGGATCCCATTTTGGGTGGTAGGTGAATTCACCACCCATTTTAGAACCTATTTTAGTGGTTGGATTGGGAGGTTCACTGGGGGCACGATGTTTTGAGCCATGGCCATTTAATGGACTGGCTCATCCAGGTGATAGGGGACAGGGAGGGCATATGTTAGCGTTGGACATGTTCCAGTAGATCATTGAGTATTCCAGCCAACATCAGGGCTCAGGCCTGTTTTGTTTGGAAGACATGGTCAAAAGTTGTTCTGGGCCTCGGCAAATGATCGCCCGATGTCGGACATCTGTGTGGTTTCCTTGATGTGCCCTCTGCCAGTCTGACCAAATCTCGACGCGCCCTTCCTTCCTTTTTTGTGCGACGCCAGAAAGCCCCAAGCCCAGGATTGGCGGATTGACCCCAGACTTGTGGAACTTTCCGGTACCCGCCCAAAAATATGTGCCATGGTCAACACATGCCACTTGAGGTAGGGGTGGCGGCCCTTTCTGGGACTCTTCGAAGCCTAGGGACCCTACAAATACCGCTTTTCGGATGGTCTACTTGGTCAGAAGATAAGATAGACCTCGATCGAGGCCGGTGCCAAAACCGCAGGCGCTGCGGGAGAGCTTTGGGTTTTTTCTCGACCGATGTTCCGGTTGGTTTGCCGGTCACGAAAGGCCAGTTCTAGCGTCGGTCAAGGACTTCTCTCCCCTAAAATGGGGGGGGGGAGGGAGGGAGGGACCTGGTGGCTAGAGTGTGAAGAGAAGAAAGAGGATATTTTTTGAATTTTGAGGGTTCGAAGCCGTGTGAAGCCCCTCCATCTGAAAACATAGGACAAGAAGCCAACCAGGAAGGGTCCCTAGTCTTGATCCGCTAGACCGAACTGTCAAAGGATTGTGCCGCCTTCGATGATGTAAACGACAAACAACTCTTCTTGCCTTACTAGGTCCCCCAGTAGTGCCCTTTCTCACCCTTTTTGGGGGAGGGTTCCCCTACTAAAATCGACTACAGAAAAAAGGGGTACCCATATTCTAACCTCTCTACTGGAGGACCTAGCCTCTCTTCCGTTCCAAGGTGGGTGTTTTCTCATTTTTCGGGTTCCCTTCCGAATCATGTTTGACGCGGATTCGGATCTTGGACAGACTTACTGCCCTGAAATCACGTAGCCATTTGCATCATATAGTTGTATGTATCTGTCTATCTATGTGTTTGCATACCTGTATGTAGATGTATAGGTGCGTCTATATATATATATGGGTATCTTAGCCTGTATAGTTTTGTATGAAGGTGCTCCTCGAATTTCTTTCTTTTCCAATGCTCCTGCCCCGTTGAACGCTCCTAGTCTTTGTCCAATGTCAGTCAAACGTCTCATCAACTGGTCTCAAGTTTGAACACGTTTCGCTTCCAGGAAGAGGCTCCGCTCCGCTTTGGAGTTGGAGTTGCTTGATTCTCACATCACGAAGGCGAATCTAACGCACCCATGTATGTAAATATATATATATATATATATATATGGTACCGTGTTCTGTGTTGCTACCCCCCCCCCCCCCCCCTCCCCCTGAGACCCCGAGCCCCCGGATCCTGGCACCTACGGTCCCACCCCCACCCCGACCCCCTGAACTCGCACCCCGACACCCCGGCACCCCCACCCCCAGGACAAGCCAACCCGCAACCAACCATAAACCGACCCTTTCCTAACCCTAAACCAACCCTAAATACACCCTAAACCAAACCCTAAACCAAACCCTAAACCAACCCTAAATCAACCCTAAGTCAATCCTAAATCAACATAAACCAACCCTAAACCAACCCTAAATACACCCTAAACCAAACCCTAAACCTAAACCAACCCTAAACCAATCCTAAATCAACATAAACCAACCCTAAACTAACCCTAAACTAGCCATAACTACACCCTAAATACACCGTAAACAAATTCTAAACCAACCCTAAACCAACCCTAAATCACCACAACCCAACCACAGGACCACAACCACAGGGGGGGCGGGGGTACTTGTCTGACCCATGACAATTGGGGTGGGTGGGTGGGTGGGTGGGGGGTGGGGGGCAACGCTGTACCATATATAAATTAAAGTATATGTGTATGTGTATGTGTGTAAGAAGGCAAATCCGTTTCGAACAATCCACGTCACAGTAGCGATTGGGCAAGCAGTTGTAGTAACATGTTTGTAGCCTCTTATACGCATGCAGATGATACGCCTGTGGCTTTGTACGTCCGGCTGCAGTTTCACCCTAGATCTCTATTCACGCACTATGAGCCACAGAGTTCGGGTAAGCGAAGGCTAGGGCGGGCATGTCACCTCCGTCTTGAAAGTCGATTCTTTACAAGGTCTTGAGTCCACTTTGGTTAAGAGCCTCCAACTCCACCGGCGTCGCCTGGCGATAGGAGTGGCCGTATGTCGAGCCGAAGTGTGTAGCCAAACAATGCAGAGTTGCAGGCGATTGACCCGAAACTGAGAAGCCCTCAGAGGCCTTACAATGATTCCGCGAGCGAGTTCTGTCGACATTTGCGGTGTACAAATGTTCTGGACCGCATGCTGTAGATTATGCTATAGCACAGCAATCTACATGCCTTCCCAGGCAGTTTTGCTCGGAAAGTTGGTAGATGGTATTTAAAGTCATTAACTCGAAAAGGAGGGCAAGTCAAACGACAACCAAGGAAAGCGAAAGGACTCAACGATGCAAGGAGGGAAGCGAAAGAAAAGGCGGTTTCAGCAATGGCCCATAGGATCCGTCGCCAACCGAGGAAGACAAATCGAAAGCTAAAAGGAATGCCAACAAATTGCCACAGAAGGAAGCGAACCGGAAATCATAGATGTGATTAGCCATGGTTAATATCATCATCAGGGACGTCGCGTTAGTGACCGACCTGTGGTGTTTTGGCTCAAGTTTTGGGTTCCGTCGCGCCTCGAATGGGCGTCGCCGAACCCCTGCGTCGACCGACGGCATCTCGGGGGAGAAAGAGACCTCGGGCCGCCGCCAGGTTGGTAGGGACCAGTCGTGCGGCCTGTTGTCGACCAAGGTTGCGGGTTAACCCTTTTCTTGTTTGGTTTGTTTTCCTTTGGTTGTTGTTCTCTGGTGTGTGGGAAACCCTGATCTTTGGGACCGGGGATTGGTTTGCTTTTGGGGAACCTTTCTTTTGTGGCTTGTTTACCCCAACTTACCCATTGCCTGGGCACAGGCTCGTGCCCGAATCACAGGTTATCAGCCGTAGGACTTTCCTACGCGCTTGAGACCATCAACTACAAGCTCTATGTCGACCCCACGATCTCGAAGGAGCGTCGTGGATGAGGAGGCCATCCTAGGTGGCCTCCGCTCAGGTGAGGACCTACCGGACTATGACTACGAGGATTTCGAAGCAGGTTCGACAGGTCAGGACCGCAGGGGTGAAGATCCCGGTAGGGATACACCCAGGGGCCGTGGCAGGTACGCCGACGATGGAGACGATCGTATTTTCCGCCAGGCCACTGATGACGAGCAGACACGAAGGGTTTACTCCGATAGGAGTGGCTCTGAATCAGGTCACAGGCGTGGACATTTTGACTTCATCAGCATGGCGATGGACATGGCCCGCCCTCATTCGGATGACCCGGAGGCCATGCCGGTTCGACCTCCGAGATCTCTTGTTCCAGGTGAGTCGCAGGTCTCGGATGAGTTTGAGAATAGGCCGCAGGGACCAGGGACTATGGTTCTGGCTCCGGGAGGTATCCCGGGCCGATCCACTGGTTCTCAGAATCCAGGTCAGTTTGATGAGCACGAGGAGCGGAAAGTTCTCAGACTTCGGATACGATGATCTGTTGAAATCGACCGCAGGATGGGGCAGTAGCTCAAAGCAGGGATCTGATGCCGGTAGGCCCAACCCTATTACTGCCAAATCTGAGTCTTATGATGACGAAGATTACAATTTTGCGGATGAGGAGGAGGGCCATTCGCGCCGAATGCAGGCAACCGTGCGGCTGCAAGGACTAGCCCTGCCGCTGCCAAGTTTGAGGTCGGTGATGATGACGAGTATGCCGCATTTGCGGATCGCCGTGATGAGGAGGAGGACCAATCACGACGAAATGCTAGGATCCGTGATGCTGCGAGGCCCAGGAGCCTCTCTCGTGGAGCCGCCAGGGACCTTCGTGTTGACAGGGACGCCCGAAGCGAGAGAGAGAGAGCCAGGGACAGTCGGGAAGTTCTTCGGGGATTGGAGGCTATCCATGACCGTGAGGGACCGGTAGGTCCCCCGGCGATTGGTGATACCCCGAATGTTCCCCCTTTTCCCAACATTACTTTTGGAGGTCCGTTGGATCAGAGAGACGTGAACTCGAACCGGGTTACTGGTTCGCCGAGGATCACTGAGCGGGTTGCCGATGTCGTTGGGAAAGGTGCAAGAGATGGCCGGCTTGCCGATGCACTCGGAATCGAGGATCATCCGTCGATCGCTAGCCCGTTAGGGCGAGATACTAGTGACCTTGAAACACTTAGGTCTAGCAACGAGTTCACACCTCAGTGGGGCTCGACCGCCAGGGAACGTAGTGCTTCTGCGAAGAGACCGTCACCCCTGGCCATTGAGACCGATAGGTCAAAGGCGAGGAGGGCTAGCCCCTCACCAATGGATTCAACTCCGCAGGATGAGGAGATGCCTGATCCTGCTGATGTTCACATTCACTCTACTCCCGAGTCTCGTGCGTCCAACATTGATCCCCGATCTGGCGATAGCCGGAGAAGGGGATCTACCCCGAGTAGACCATCCAGGATTGATAATTGTCCCGTAGATGACCCCAGAAGACATGCCGGGGCTAGTGGGGCTCCTGAGAGGATCGAGATATCGACTCCTCCCGCCCTCAGATCCCAGTCTTCCGGCGAATCAGGTGACGCTAGGGCAAAGGAGGTGTTTGATTTGCACATCCAGGAGATGCTCGAGAGGGGTGAGGTTTCTGGCTCAGTCGCGAAGGCGTTCCATATTTTTGCTGACCAAATCAGGTTACTGAATGGTCAAGTGAGTTCCATGCGAAGGGAATGGAGCGACGAGAGTCAACAGACGAAGGACAAGATCGATCGCCTGGCAGCTGAGGTTGCGACTCAATCTGATGCCGGGAGGATGCGAATGATAGTTCAGCGGTTTGCAAGGGAAGTTATTCCCGACAGCAAAGCCATTGTGAGGCAAGCCATCGATGAACAGGCTGAAGTCGTGGAGCAGAGGATTAATCTACTTTCCCACGAGGTTCACGAATCTGTTAAGGACAATGAGGCCGCGACTGATCGGCTTCGTCAGGTGATTCAAGAGAATCGTGAGGCCGTCCACAGGAGCCATGCTGCTTCCGAGGATGAGATCCTTAAGGACTTGGAAAAGCTCGAGAAACGGATGTTCTCGGTAGAGAAGACCGTCGGGATGCGGACGCCGGCAGGTGAATGGAATTTGAATCCTGTCGCGCAACCGTCCGATAGGGCCAGTAGCAGTGTGGTGAACGCGAATTTCAGGGAGTTAAACCTGAAGCTCGAGAAGGCTCTCCTCGAACACGAGAAGTTTGCTAAGTGGGCCTCCGAATCTATTGGTGGCATCAATGAAGAGCAAACCCTTCTCGCTAATCGGATGTCGAGGCTGC